TTGGGGATGTTGGAATCAAAGATTTGTTTAAAAGTCGTCCTTTTTAGTTTCTTTGGGTTTGGGTTTATTTTAGCACATCTTGTTACTTGTGATAAAGTTAAAGTAACAGATGTTTTCCTGCAATTATTTTCCCCCATTCTGCTCTTAAACTTTACTCTTGATGAAGTGTGGGCAAGAACAGTTAGTTTGCACAAGAAGTGAAAGAGGTTTTGGGTTAGTGGCAGTCTCCTAAGTGAGGGGATGGGATTAGGTGTCCTCAGCAGGTTGAGCAGGACTTTGATGACAAATAGAGGTGTTAGGGACACTTTTGTAATCTGCAGAGAACAGAGGGATAAGTGGCCTGGTGATGACTTCTGGGGGGTGTTTTAGAACATCTTGAACAGGAAACTGTTAGCTGGGACTTAAAGAGAAAACAGTAAAGATTAGGATCTGGGTGGGTCAAGAATGAAAAAGACCTGTCCTTGGGGGTTCTGGCAAATGTGAGTTCTGAGCATGGAGGAAGGGACAGCTTTCAAGTAGGAGCATCAGAACATGTGAGGTTTGGACACAGAAGCCTGAGTTTTTGCAGTATAGAGAAATGCAAGAAAATGGAGACTATAATGCAAGACTCTTACAAACTGCTTTGGACTGCTTTTGGACTACTGTCTCTTCCCTTATTCTTGATTTTGTTGGAATATGCAGCCTAACCTCACTGTCATTCACTCTGTGCCAGGGTGACAGGCTATCCCAGCTATGCTATCAGTTATACTATTCCAGATAAACATGTAATGTTGTAGCTCACTTTTTCTGGTTATAATACAGTATTTTTCCTCCCTGAACACACTCAGGCAATCTGCTGAGTGCTGAATGTGCTACTGCAAATTTAGCTACCTTCACTGGGAGTCCTTCACTTTTAGAGCAGAGGTTCTCAACAGCTGTAAGGTCATTACATGGAAGTGTTTTTTTCCCCAAAATTTCTTTAGGCTTTGAGCCTTTCTTTCAGATAAGATATTTCTCATTAAATTTAAGGCCTTTGCCTGGCTGCCATGAACTTCTTCTGAAGCCAGTGGAAAATGGAAAGTAACCCTTGGGGGCAGAAAAGCTTTTAAAGGACATCTCTTCCTAAAATCTAGTCTATTCAGAAAAGCAACTGGAAAGAGAGCAGACATACTAATTTAATTTTTCCTGTTAGTCTCACCCTATTCCTCCTTCTCCATAGTGCTGATTTTTAGAGCCACCTCTTTGATGTTACTATGTATATTTTTTTAGTGGTCCTGAAGATGTTCTGTTAAAACATCTCATTTGCACATGCTTGTCTTGCCCTTCTGCAGTGATCAGCTGAGATATAAGATCATCTATGCTGCTACAGAACATAAAAGAAAATCATTTTCTTTTTTCAAAGCAAAAGAACTTTGCTGTTCTGGAAATGAAGGCCAAGAATGTTGTTCCTAAGCTTATACATGGAGTGGATGTCATTAAAAAGTCAGCATTTACTAAGGCCAGGTGTTGATTGTGTTTTCTAGCACCGTTGACAAGCATGAGATTTCCTTGGGCAACAGATCATGACATTTGAGAGCAACTTCCCCATATAAGTCTGGTATTTCACTTCCTGGGTCATGTTTATAGCAAGGTCATAATTTTCACCATCATTGACACAATTATCCTGGATGATAACTTTGAGATTATATCTTAGAAATAAAAACTAATAATTTCTATTTATCAGGAAAATTTCAAAGTGTTACACGAATAAGTGTAAAATTGCTTTTATGGGCTTTTATAGCCTTTGTATGTAACATTTCTTTTACTTTGCTTCAGTTCCATGAATCAATTAATCTCCTCTGATAAATGAAAAATCATTTAACTATCAGGTAATATCCACACTCATTCATCAAAACTCAGCTGCTTAGAAGTACTATGGAATGAATACTGGGCTTCTTTCCATACGAAATTATTGCTGTACAAATTGTTGATATTATTTAGTGATAGAAATACCTAACAAGGAACCAGAATGTGATTAATTAAATACTAGGTTTTAAATCATTATTTAGAAGGGGATAGTAATTAGAACCAGGTTTCAATTAATTAATTTTGAGTGTTTCATGCAGTAATTTCTAATTTAATTCTATTCCTTCTATCTTTTCTTAATGTAGCCCATGTTTTAATGAAATTGCAAACATCTCTTTAACAAACTGTTTATGAACTCAGAATTTAGATTTCGCCACCTGGTGATGGCAAGCAGAACACCCAAGAGGGACTTATTTGTTTTGAAAAATGCTAGCATAACAACATCAAAGAGTTTATTGGCAATACCAGACAGATTAAAAGTCTCTCTACCCTCATGAGACCCCACCTGGAGTAATATGTCCAGGTCAGGAGTCCTCAGCACAAGAAAGATGTGGAGCCCTTAGATCAGGTCCACAGGAGGCTAAAAAAAGATCAGAGGGTTGGAGCACCTCTCCTGTGAAGGCAGGCTGGCAGATCTGGGAATGTTCAGCCTGGAGAAGAGAAGGCTCCTTTGCGACCTTCCAGTACCTAAATGGGCCTTTGTACCTGGGCAGGTACCGATAGAGCAAGGGGGGATCACTTTTGAACTTAGAGATTTAGGTGAAATCTTAGGAAGAAATTCTTGACTGTGAGGGAGGTGAGGCCCTGGCACAGGTTGCCCAGAGAAGCTGTGGATGTCCCATCCCTGGATGTGTTCAGGGCCAGGCTGGATGGGGCTCTGAGCAATGTGGTCTAGTGGCAGATGTCCTTGCCCTTGGCAGGGGTTTGGAGCTACACGATCTTTAAGGTCCCCTCCAACTTGAGCCAGTCTGTGATTCCATAAGTAAAGCATATACAAAAATCAGAATGACACAGAGCAGCTGTCAATCATCAGCCTATCTATAGAGGAAAGGCAGTTTAGTTACATCCAGCAACCAAATGTGGATAGTGAGGCTTTACACCACTTCACCTAATCTATTATATTTGTCTTCATACTTATGGGAACAAAAAAAATGTTCTTGTTTTTATCATCTGGAACCAAATTAGACCCAGTATCAGGCTGTTATCTTAATCATAGAATCACTTTGACTGTAATGACTTAATTAACCTCTGAGCATATACCTGCAATAATCTCATACATTTTCATTTTGGTTTTAGCAGTTATAGCATCGTTTCCATATAGTTTATCTCTGGCATGAGGTTGCAGAAGGAAAGGAATAGACAGGGAGAAATGAATTGGTTTTTTCTCCAGGGAAATTTCTTGGGATTTTGAAAGAATGTCTCCCTTGAACAAAGATGAAAACAAAATCCATCCTTTTTTTTTTGCTTCACCAGCTCTGTTGCTCTTCTTTGGATATGCTCCAGCAAATTTATTAGGAAAAATCTCTTCATTGAAATGATTATCAGGGAAATGGCTGAGTCAACATCCCTGGGGGTATTTAAAGGACATGTAGATGTGGTACTTAGGGACAAGGTTTAGCGGTGGACTTGGCAGCATTCAGTTAACAGCTGGATTCAATGATCTCGGGGGCCTTTTCCAAAGTAAATGATTCTGTGGATCTAAGGCAGATGCACTGAGGAAGCTGGGCTATGTCTATGTTGACCCTGAGATGGAGGAACACATGGAAATGCCTGAGAACAGACCTCCCAAGTGTAAGGGTCTCTAAATCCCATCTGCTCTTGCAGTTGGTGGTGTGAGGGAATACTGGATCATCACACATCAGACATCAAAGGACATGGCCACACAGAGAGATGGATCTCAGTACTCTGCTTTTCTAGGCAAAGCCATGATAAATTGTTTGAGATTCCTCCCAGGGTGCTCCTCGGGGATTGCATCCAAACTCAGGTTGTGTCTGCTCCATGAGGAAGGCTGAGGCCTTCCTAAAGCACCAGCCTGGGCTCATGCTCCATGTTTGATAAATATGGTTTCAGAAACAAAACCCTGGTTTGTGCTTCATCTTGCAGCAGGAGTTGAACCTGTGGCTTTCTCACTCACTGTGTGATCTGGTTCTTCCAGAGAGGAAATTTCACCCTTCACAGGGAAATTTCCAACAGCCCAGGCACATGGCACAGACACTGCTGGACTGACCAACTCTGCCAGCTCAGCATGAAGCAACTGCATGGCCAATATTAGGCATCCAACTGGCACAAATCTACCTTCCCAGAAACTGTTTTTGTTCAAGCTACCTTTAAGGAATAAATACAAAAGCTGCCTATTTACTGTATGAAAACAAATATCATCTGGGACATTAGTTCATTTCTGCACTGACGTGCAGGGGAAAGTTCTAAAATCTGATTTACAAAGGTTCTGAGAACTCTGGTGTATCACAGTTTAATTTTTTGTATTCGAGGCAAAGTACTGCACTTTCCTCAGGTTTATTCATTTTTCTGGAATGTTATCAATACATTTAAAACAAAACATGGAGACTAGCATACTCTTTGTGTGAAAGCATACTGAAGAGGGCTCACTGTGCTTCTATGGTCCCAGTCCTGCAAAATGGGAAAAGTGTTGTAATAAAACAATTTCTAGAGCTTCATGCAGTTGCTCTGAGCACCTTATTAATTTATTTTTTTAGCTGAACATGGAATATTTTAATCTTTTGTAAAACTATATCAATTCTTTGAAGATAAAAGGGCTCTTGATGCTTAAAACCCTGATGAAAACCAGATTACAGGTAACAGATTTTTATCTATGATAAAAGATTTTTAGTTACTTTGGCTTGTGCTTTAGCTGTGTTTTTTGTTCCTTTTGACCTAGACCTTGTATTTTAGTAACATTCAACATTAACAGCCAGGATGATGTTTAAATAGAGCAAGGACTTTAAATTTCATACCATCTAGGTAGCAGAGCCACAAACAGATTTTCTGCTTGTGCTAAGACGTTTGACTACAACAGATCTATGATGCTTTATAAAGTAAGATTTGGACCCAGGGGAGTGGGTTTGTGTGTCTCATACAAATTACTGCCTTTAGTGTCCTAATTGATACCATCTGTAGTTTTACACCCTTTCCTTTCTTTCTTCCTTTCTCCTTTGTAGTCAGAGCTACCTTCAAACTGCAAGTGACGTGCCTGGGGGTCACAACCTGGATCCCTCTGCAAACTACAATTCCCCAAAGTTTCGCTCAAGGAATCAGAGCTATATGAGAGCAGTGAGCACGCTCAGTCAGGCCAGCTGTGTTAGTCAGGTGGGAAATTCTTGTTATAATTTTTCTTATAGGTTAACTGCAGATATGACAGTTGTAACTAGTGGATGGTTTTAGGTTTTTTGCATTTTTTTAATCAATATCAAACTGAGGTTGTGAATTGTGGAAGTAATTCAGTTCTGAGGAATGTAACTCAAAATTTCAAGTAAAATACTGAATGCTAAAGGCAAAGAAAAACTATCAAACATTATATTTTCAGTTTATTTTTCATTACAAATATAAATACTGGTGTTTTTATTTTCAGTCTATATTAAATATTTAAATGTTAAGAAGATTTAGACGGAGCATGAGGAGTATGCTCCTACAATACTCATCATCTGAAAATACCTGCTCTGATTTCAGTAAATGTGGGTTGCCAGATTAAGATATAGATTGAAAAAAATTATGCTCCAAAGGAATAGTGTTTCATCCTAAATCAAATCCCTCACTCTTCTTGGGTGAAAGAATAAGTCCCATCAACTATTCTACGTATGGGGACTCCTGAAAAGGTACAATTTTCCTCCCTACTGGCTTTATGTCTGTGAGGTCTGAATCACACCTGAAGTGCAATAAGCCAACAGAATTACATACATGTTCTATGTAGCAGAGGACTTTACACAAAATTCCCAATGTTTCTAATATTTATTGGTCCTAACTTTTCTTGCCTGTGTTGTTTCATGAGAGATGGGCCCTGCCCCCTTTTCAGACATGGTACTTAATATTTCTTTGACCATTTAGTGAGCCACCTAAGTGTATACATACACAATGGTTATGTTAAAAGAGAAATCTTTTTAAAGCAATTTCATATTCATTCATATTTGATTTGTATTGCATGGCTATTCAGGCCTGGATTCAACTCATCTAAATTGAGGCTTTTAACTGAGGCAACAACTACAGCTTCCTCTGTGGTTAATGGAGCAAAAGAGTTTCTTCCAGGACAGTGAACATCCGAGTGGCTGAGAGCCCCCTGGAAATGCTTGTCAGTCTCCACTGACTGCAGAGAGCTGGGAGGGGCTAACCTGACTAATGCCCTTCAGTCAAATTCCTTAATTTGTGTGAGGTAATTCCAAATTTAAAGTTATGTAGCACACATTAGAATTAGAAACAGTTAGTCATTTTCCAAACCTTTCATTATTTTTTTCACAAGGAAACTCCCTTGTGAAAACTGTTCCCATCATTCTGATGCCTTGTTTTTTATTACGCTGCTTGTTGGTTTCTTTGTCTTTTTATTATACTCTGCTTTTGAGAAAATTTCATATGTATTAAATCCTGCATTCAAAGCACATGCTCTCAGCTGCCACCTGACAATGTTCCCACATAGAGCTAGTCTAAAATCTTCTGCCTCTTTGACTGTGTCTGTGAATAGAGATATTCACTGAGCTGTCCATGATAATTAATTGGTTTCAGAAGTGGTTAAAATTCTTCATTTCAGTGTGCATTACCTGGAAGGTGTCCACAATAGATTTCATTTGCAGGTAGATTGCTCAATTGGCCAGATTAACTAAACCTGCTGGATATAGTTCTTTGCTTTTTCAGTGTTCACTAACCTATGCAACTTTGTGCTAGCCACAAAATTCCTACCTAACAGTCCAGCTGTTTCCAGACCATTTAATAGCTATTGCCCCAAGCAAATGTATTATAATATCAAGTTCTGAACCTTTGCTCTTTCCTGTTTTTTTTTTTCCATCCTCCTCTTGTTCCATCTACATAATAGCAGTTTGTATCACTTGTGAGATTTTTTAATGCTTTTTTGTTGTGAGATCCTTCCTTTTTCACACCTGACAAAGGGTAGACTCAAGAAGAATGCTGAATTCCATGGTATATATTTTTAGTTTCAGATTGAAAACTTTTGTTTTTCTATTGTCAAAAACCTTAGTTTAAAATAAATGGCTAAGACTTACTGAGTTTATGGACTAAATTACCCATATATTTCCTGATCAACAATATTGCAAACTAGTTCAGAGTAAGATTTTTTTTATCTCTTTGAGATTGCATTAGTCTACTTAACTTTATTAAAAGCAAATTTTATGAAGAGTAATTTAATTCTTTTCAGAAGATTTTCAGTAGCTAAAATGTCTTACACAAAATTATCAGTTATTCATAATCATCAGAACGTCTCTATAAAATTTCCATTTACTTAACCAAACCCCTAAAACAATTGAAACATTTGATGGGACTCTCTTTCCATAATGAATAAAGCACTAGGAGCACTTAGCAGCTGTATAGGAAAATTAATATCAACCGGATGTGCCATTTAGTGATGCCATAAATTTAACTTGTAAAATTATTCATACTGATTCTGCCTTCTAGCCCTCACTTTTTAGAAAATAATTATTTTCAGAAAGTCATGCAAATATCTGTTCATGTAAACTTCCTATCTGATTTTGGATAAAAATAATATTTAGTTATTCAGATACATTTACAGGTAGTTAGGGCTGCCTTCAGTGAACATTTGAAAAACATTGTAGGTAGAACTAAGGCACTAATTTTCAAAACAGTGACATATGGTTTCCTACTGAGAGGTTCCCCAAGCCTGGCCACTCTGCCTAAGCCCTGTTTATCCTGAAAATTGCCTCTAAAACAGGCACAGTGTTGGATCATGCCCAGCCTGCATGGGCAGGCAGGCAGATGCTGGGTCCTGCCTAAGCACTGCAGGGAGCTGGGGGCTGCTGCTGAAATACCCCAGGGGGATGTTGGAGGGTCCCGCAGGCACAGCTGGGCTGCTCTGCCTGGCAGGCTTCCACAGCACCCCTGCTGGCAGAAGTGTCAGATATTATATAATGCTGCTGAAGAAAAGGCTCTTCCATGGGAGTGAATGGCTAACCCAGTTAACCAGGAAGTGAGTTTGGCTTGGGTCCCTTCTCAACTATGCCAAAAGATATTGAATGGAGCATTAATGTATGGCATGTGTGATGCATTTAATAGCGATGTGTAAACAGCTGATCTAAGTTGAGCAATGTGAATGTGATCAGAAGGGATTACTACATTTTAACTATTTGCTAAAACAGTTCTTCATCAATGTACAGGTGTCCATTTGAGATGTTGAGGCCGTGATGATCACAAAAAAGCAAGTCAAAAATCAAATGCATTGTTGTTGTTTATTCAGATGAGTGAAGCAGAGGTTAATGGGCAATTTGAATCGGTGTGTGAATCAGTGTTTAGTGAAGTTGAAGCTCAGGCAATGGATGCCCTTGACCTCCCTGGATGTTTCCGAACAAGAAGCCACAGTTACTTGCGTGCCATTCAGGCAGGCTATTCCCAAGATGATGAATGTATCCCTGCGCTGACATCCTCCAACATCACCTCAACCATCAGGTCAACCACAGGTAAGCCAGTCTCCCCTGACCCTTTCACTGCTCTGCATGTAAAAACATATCAGCTTGTTTTCTCAAAGGAGTTTTGACACTAGAAGCATTTTTGCTGTGTAGAAATAATGTTTGATACCAATATTCTTATGTTTTTAATACTGTGCTATTGTGGTTACATCTTGGAATAAGCTCTTTCTGGGAAGAATCCTGTGTGCATAATGTAATGGACCTGGGTTTTTGACCTTCATTTTACATACATGCAGTTATCTACGTGCAAATATAAAAATGCAAGTGCAAATGGTATAATCTCAATATTGTTAGATATTTATGTGGTTTATCTATCAAGTAATTTGTATTCTAAATGAGATTCATTGTGCTAATTTTAATTTAGGTTGATAAAGTACCAAAAAAAAGGAGAAGTAAGATTAAAGATATTTGGTCTAAATACTCAAAGGAAGTTACTGTAAAAGGTAATCAATTAGTTTTAGGGAAGGTGCAACCAATTGTACCAGTTCACTGAATTGTAAACATTTTGGCAAACTTCACACATCTGCTGTTACTCATTATCCCTTAGCTTTCATTGTTATAATGCTCATTGTTCAGATCTTTTACCATTCTTCTGGCAACTTTCTTTTTTTTTTATTAGTTGCTTACTAAAGACAATAGCTTTATCCATTTTAGAATTTTAGCATATATTGGTAGAGAAAAGATTGCACAGAGAACCATTCAATAATTAAAATGAAATCTAAAGGAAGTATGTATTATTTGTAAACTGATCCAAATTCGCTTCTACATTTCCAAATATGTTAATGCCAGTTCCTAATTATGATATTGTCCTTGCCACATACTATTAAGCTGTAGTGCAGGCTACCCATCTACAAAAGGTAAAAATGAGTTCAAAATGTATAATATAAAAATACTTTTAAAATTATTTGCTTAACACATCTGTTGTATAACAGAACAGTGGGAGCTTAAAAAGGAAGCCATGGTTGAATAATATACATTTGCATTCAAGAAGTAGCATAAAATGTTATTTTATCTTAAGCATAGTATTTTAATTGTTATGTAAAACTTGGTGTTAAGCTAGAAATTGTTGGTTACAGTGCCCCCTCTAGGGATGTTTCAGTTCTTTGATTAATAGAGATGCTATCATGATATAAAATGAGATCTTATTGCTACCCCAGAGACTAATTTTCATCTTTATCATATATTATTGTGTGATCATTATGAAGACACCTTCCATGGCAAGAGACACAAACAGATGCTTATTTTGGAATCTGCTCCAAGTACTGAATTGGAATATTTTCAGAATCACCTTGGTTACCAAGTGGGCTGATTTTTACCTAAACTGTCTTGAGTTTATATGCTACATAAGCCCAAAATTCTCACTGAAAAGAACTTATTTTATTTTCCTCAGAGTGAAAAAGCTGAATAATAAAATATATTTGAGAAAATACAAGATTAGGTAGTAAGTGAGTTTGCATCACAGTGTTTTTTCATGCTTATGAGACAGGTTATGCATTGATTAGTATTCTGCTGGTTAAATACTGTGGTTTTGAAAATTTTATCCTTCATTTCGGTCCTAAGTTCTCCCTCATCTCAGAAATTATTCATCAGATAGATTTTCTTGCTCACAATGTAATCCTTTTTATTTTTTGTGGTGAGGTGATATTGACAATCTGGGGAAAAAAGATGACTTGAGATCTTTTCTTGTTCCAAAATTATTTCCGGTCTTATGGACTGTATACAGTTCTGAGTGTGATTCTGTAATTAAAATGTCATCTCTGTGCCACTGAGCAAATTTGTCAACAATTTCTATATAAGGTAACTATGCAAATCAGAAAGAATTATCTAGTATAAAAGAAGAGTAAGGATTATGAGATTCATTTTGAAGGGAAATTTCAGTTGCCAAAAAAGTTCTTGTTTTTAAAATCCTAGGTATAATGCTTCCATTTTTCTCTCTTCAGTCCTTGTCACTTTGGAGGGAGATACTGCATTTCTTATCCTTACTATAATTTTTACAAAAATCTGACTTTTTCATCCCTTTTTGAAAATTGTAAAAGAAGCCATTGCCTGAAATGTGAAAATGGTGTTGGCGGTGTTGGCAGACATTTGACATTCAAATAAATGTCAGAAAGATCAGACTTTCACATCAGTTTTTTATTTCCAATTCAGTCTTTTATTTCTTAAGAAAATTACATTAAGTTCTTTTTTGCTTCTGATGTGACAAATTCTTTTTGGCAAAGAAACTAAAGGAGTTTTTTAGAAAATTAACAGTCATTTCGATTTAATTATTCCATTCAATTTTAGTTATATAGGTCATGACTGCCCCTTATCATTGTCATAAAGCAATTTATTCGTAGCACATAGGCTTAGCTAAAAATTAATTCTTGTAACTAAAAATGTAAACCTAAACTAAAATTCTCTATGAATTCAATTACAAAAGTAATTGTAAAAAGTAGAATATATATTTACAGCATGCATTTTCCTAAAATATTCCTAGATGCATTGGCAACTTTCAGGAGGCTGCAACTATAATGAATATTATGTGGGACATTATTAATGGACTATGCTAATAGGATTTTCTAATAGATGGAAAAAGTGCTACCAGTATCGGGCTCTTAACTGCATACAACTTTACAGAGAAATTGTTGGTACTAAGGAAAACATAACTTCTCCATGGATCCATGTAGTTTAATTATTTGTGGAACCAGTCTTCTCCCCCTCTGAGGGAGATTGTCACAAGGCCTAGGGCACTCCCTGCTGCCCCAGGTGTAAATGAATGAGACAAGTGCAGTGCAAAGCAGACAGCCAGCATTGCTGGCCTATGGTAAGCTAGACCTGGCATCTGTGTGAGCCCTGCTGAGACTCTTCTTTCATTGAGGTTAGGGCATTTCCAGCCATCACGTTTCATTTTGTGAGGAGATAATGAACCCAGTAAAAGATCCTTGATGTTAAAAGCCCTGAATGGCAGCATATGCTTTGTGTCTCTGAACCATATCCAGCCACAGCTGTCAGATGCACAGCTGAGAAAATGCAGCTCCAGCTGCTGCCGCCTCCCACCTCGCTCCTCCATCACAGACAACATGTAATTTCCTGAATGGGAAGTCACTGAGTGCAGCAGTCATCCTAAGTGCTACTGACTTACAGCTCTGCTACTCCTGCAAGCAATGTTTCCCTTTTCAGGAAGAGTTCATAAAAACTGGGTCACTTTCCAGGTAGCACCAGGCTGGCTCCCTGTTGTCGAAGCGCATCACGCCACTGTCAGCTCGGCAGGCACAGGGAGTGTGGCACAGGGCTGGGGGAGGCACAGGCTGCTGGAGGTGCTGGGGCTGTGCCAGCTCCAGCTGAGCCAGAGCCAGCCCTGGCTGGAGAGTCCTGCTGGGAAATGGAGAGCAGTAGATCGGGAGCAGTCACACCTTTTCCCTCTGCAACACCTGGCTTCCCTCACTGAAAAGTGCTTCAGATTCTGTGGTAAAGCCCTAGACTGTACTATGAGAACATGACCAACAAGGACATCTGGAAGATAATAATCACTCCCTCATTTCCCCTTGGTCTGAGAAGGTCAACTTACTTTTGGTACAAGTTCTCTATGTAGAGAGAGTCCTTTGTATTAATCACTCCTTGTGTTATAGATTATTTCAGGATGTTTCCTCACAGGTTTTTTTTTAGTTTGGTTTTACTGTAAATGCTGAAACATTGAATTGCAATGGTAATGGAGGCAGCAATTAGCATGGTCTCTTGTGAAGCAGAACTTGCTAAAATCCCTTTCCTGAGAGAGAGAGAGTAACTTGGTACTTGCACTTCTGGCCAACTTGAACACCAACTTATCATCTCTTCAGATTTGGAGGCACACGTATGTTCTCCTGATGACATATACATCGTATAAAATGTATAAAACACGTCTTTATTGAGAGAAACATTTCCTCTGGATTCCTCTGGACACTGCTCAGGATATTTACTCATCAGGTGGAATAACTTCTCAGTGTACACTGCTTTTATATTCAAATTGAAGCAGCTAGCCAGAAATACTAAATATGTGACTCAATCAGATGCATGAAATCCTTCTCCAGCAACAAGCACAGACTATGTGGACTCTGTTAAGTTCTTTGGTTTTCAGTCTGATGAATAAAAGAGAGGATAATTTTCAGTTCCTTAAAACTACTCCACATGTTCCTCTAACCCAGGTTTTTTTGTCTATAACAGTATTTTTTTACTGGATTAATGATAAATGAATGGATTAATGATAAAAATCCGCCTAGCTATGGACTTCAGCACAATGGGGACTTGGTCAGGGTAGATAAAGGCAGCCTGGATTTCTCTCCTATGTTAAATGTCAGTCCAAAGTAATTTCTCCCACTTCAGGGATTTTGTGGTAACCTTGAGAGAAATTTAGCATAAAGCATTGCTGACTTTAGGGAACAGAGTTACTAGCCCTAAGTTGTCAGTATAATGCATAAAAATTTTCAATTCTTCCAGAAAATGTAGCATAATGCAATCTGTCAGATTTTTCCAATCCTAATGATTCTCTCATTTGTGCATGCACCTCCCTTTTTCTGATTCATAGGAGGTAGATCAACTCAGCTCATGCTTGCTGAAGACTTCACTGAGGAAGATGAAGTGACTTTGGGTCATTTTACTTTTTGCAAACTGTCTTTGGGCCATTTTACTTTTAGCAGTCAGCTGGACTCTGCTAGCAAAGAGTAAACTTCAGAGAATTCCACATTTACGGAACTATTCAGCACTAATTCCAAAACCAATTAATTCAAGCAAGGTCACATTGTATGAGGAAGTTTTCAATTAGAACTCCTACAATTACTCAGGATGCCTGAGGAATTGCAGGTTTCCCTTCTCCACACTTCAGGCTATTTCCAGCTTTCCATTTTCAAATAAAGGGCTATGTAAGGTGAATTTTTACAGCCCATTTTTGATATTTAGCCACAAAACTCTCATGGTCAGAGAACTGATTGTATAATCATTACTTACAAAAATAAATGGATGAGAATATGATATTTCAC